TTATATATATATTTCATAATATGTCATATTAATATAATGACGCGTTTATATTATATTTATTTCAATAAATTTAATGTTATATAATAAATTGAGTATTTTTTAAATTTACAAATTTAAATAGCAAAACATTGTTTTCTTTTTTGTAATATTTTTCAATGACCGTCAGTCAAATTTGTTTCTTTTCGGACCGGAAACCCGATTGGGACAACCAATCACAGTTTGGTAAACCTTACTATAATGATTACCCTTATTACATTTTTCTAATAAAAAGAAAGAGAGTATATCATAAAGATAGTAGATCGTTAAAAAGTCTTTTAGGCAATATCGTTTCTTTATCCTCGTTCATAAAAGATTGGTGAAAAATTTCGTCGAGTGAAAATATCTCGAACACCCTGTAGATATAATACGTATATACCTATATACACGGTCCATTTAAATCCGCTTTCCCTGCAATCTCTCTCATTAAATCTTTCCTCTCTCTCTCTCTCTCTCTCTCTTTCTCTCTCTCTTTCTCTCTCTCTTTCTCTCTCTTTCTCATCTCCCCATTATTTTCCATCCTTTTCTCTTTTATAGCAATCATCGATGATGACCCCCCTACCTCTTTTGATAAATACCAAATAAAACACGGTATTTTCCAAAGTTAAGAACCTTCACGTTGACCTGATTTCTTTTTTTTTTTTCTATTTTTTTCCCCCTTTTTTCCCCCCATCGATACTAGACAAAGAAGAAAGATTACTTATCGTTTGTTTGATTTCGAATTTATTCGATTTTTTCAGTTGTTCTTGCATCGACGAGATACGAATAGTAGCTTAATTTACTATTTTCAGTATTTTTTCCACTCCCATTCGTACACCCCTTGAAAGAAGGATAACGATTCGATGAAATGCAGCTGCAGAAACAGCAGCAGCCATTTATGATGGTTTATGGTGAACTCGAATAGAAACGAGTATTGTGTTTAACGATTTAACGTTGATCGGAAAAAGAATCTAATGTGGATAGTTTCTGAAATGTATTTTATCTTCTGTCATTGTATGTAAAATATTAAATCAATCCCCCTCCCCCTCCCCCCTCACCTCATCCCCCACCTCTTAGACAGGGGAATCTGGTTTCTGTTGGTTCGTGACAGCACACGTACTCATCTTTTTCTTTAATTAAATAACGAAAATCTATATTGTCTCTAAAAACCATTTACTCGACCTCGGCCAAGTTTATTTACCTTTGCTTCCATCACTTACGTTAATTAATTGAAACGCCTTAATTGGAAACCCCTTTTAGGTCATATTCCTAGGAAATAAAAAAAATGTCCATTGGAAAAGTAATATTTAATCGTAAATGGGAGAGATACTTTTGGTTTTATATTATGTTAAATACGGTCACGAAACAATCTTTGATTTTTCGTATTGTTCGTGGGTTTTTTTTTTAATCAATTGAATGATTATAAGAGATTTGATTGCTTTCAAGGTTTTTACGTGGTAAAGGTGGAAGAGAATAATATGGAAAAAGATATCAGTTCGATCATTGTTAACCATTTTGTTATGGGTGACGACTATAGCCGGCATCCATGCAGATTTGTGTATACGAACGTCAATTATACAGTTGAAATCCTCATAGCAATATTATTTAAAATTTAATTATTAAGAATTGTAATTTGACATATTAATTATCCTAAATTGTATTTTTATTTATAATAATTGTACAATTATTAATATATTTATTTTTGTTTTTCATATCAAAGTGAACTATTCCAGAATTTATTATTTTCTATACAAAAAAAACATCCAATTATTTGATAATAAAATGAATATACTTTAAAGTTAATCGATCAAAATTTTATTCACAAAATCACAGCTTGCGGTTTGGTCCACTCTGGTTTCCAACGCCTCAATTATGGGGCCCCGTTCAGTGGTATTACTCCTACGGAACATAATATAGTAACGAAAGGGTTAAGTAACGATATATTCTGTTACCCTGTTATTTTGTTAGTACAAAAGATCAATGTGGTGTTTGCTTTTTATTACAAGTTTTAGCTGTTTTTTTCTGACACAACCTTCCATACACAACACTACACTACTTTAATCTTTTATTATTATTATTAATTAACTTTCCCACAATAATACTTTGTATGTACTTGAATTATAACGTGAAACCAATTGTTCCAGATTAAACGAAACAAAAATATTCGATGCACAAATCATTAATGCATGACACTGATTTTGTTTGTGCATCATTTTTGGTTACATAAGAAAGATTCTATTTCCTCATCTGTATTTATTCTGAATATTAATGAAATATTTCATTATTTATTTCCTTCTTAATTTTTAATGTAACACATTGTTAGGTAGAGAAACCTAAAGGAAATGATTTTTAGCTGACACCATTGGGCAAACATAATTTTCGAGTAAGTAACCGTTCTGAATTATCCTGACTCTCTACGTTGTACGCGTTGCGGTTTGACCACAAAACGCGTGCCACCATTCGAATCCCTTATCCTACTTGTAACCTAACCAAACATGTTGTACACACGAAATTTCAAGAGTGCAAGAGTGAGAGAGAGAGAGAGAGAGAGAGAGAGAGAATGTATAGAAGCATACGCTTGAAGGGTCACGTCATCAAAGGTTAGCTCGATTATCGTGAAATACTAGAGTGGATCTAGGTTAGGTTAACCTGTTTACAGGTTATGTAACGATGACAATGTTGACGAGAAACCTTTAGATGTTGTTTTTACGATCAGGATTAACCATGATAACAGTTTCCTATCCGAAAAACGTGATACTTATCCCTTTTTTTGTGATGAGAAATCATTTAATTATTGTTAATTCGATAAATACATTTATCAGTATCATAGGAATAGGATTCAAGGATGACACTGATACCAGAACACTAAAAGTTAATTCGGCCAATAAATTTGAACGAGTTATTAATACAATTGTGTTGTAAATAATGCGAATACCATATACCGAATACCTAATAGTATCAACGTAAAATCTATCGGTGACCGTTTAATAGTCTATGAATTATTAACACGCCATTTGTCGATCGATAAATTAGTTGTTCAATACAATGATGTAAAAGCTCTCCCTATTTTATCTAACAATTAAACATGTAATAGTTGACAATCCCAAATCGTTGGATAGTTCTATCAACGGATTTGTAATTGATTAATTAAATATCCCCATTATATATACATATATATATAATTATCATTATTAGAAAATAACAATAAGTATATTATTAACCTTGTAAACGTTTCTTTTCTTATACAATAAAATGTAAACAATCG